TTCATTTAAAGCATTTATCAATTTATTCAAGTATGTTTTCTTCTCTTAAGAAGCAATATAGTAAAAGTAAGAATAATGAATATTTACGAATTATCTAAACAAGGACACAATCACTAGAGTTGAATCCCATAAATTGGTGAATGCGAGCTAGTGTTAGCAAGTTGAGAATAATTCATCTGATTAGCAGAATTCTACTAGAAGCTTTGCTCTTAACAGCCTAAAACTTGAATAGGAAAATATGAGAAACCCAAATAATGTAGATGAAAGAATATATGCGTTTTCAAACTTGTTCTTTTGTTGGAGGCAATAAAGCAAACACCTTCCATGCATTCTCTCTAAACTGATGGGAAGAGAATTACTTCCGTAGTTTAATTCAGAACAAAACAATGAGTACAAGTTGCTGAAGAGTGTCCACTGACCTCAGTTGACTTTGATTTTTTAAAGAACTGTGATAATGAAAATTGAGCCTTCATTCATCATCATTGAAAAAGGATATAATTGAATGATGAGATTATGACTGTAAATAGATAAAATAGGGTACAAGCCACTTTGAAAAAGAAAGGGTAAAAGCAAAAGTTAGTCCTCAACTTTTAGTCTCAATTTTAAAATTGGTCTCAACCTTTGAAAGTGATCAATTTGGTCCTAAACAAATTGAGTTTAATCGTATGCTTGGTTTGAGGGGACGAGAGGAAAGGGAGAGGGATAAGTGTTTTAACTAATTAAATTATAATGTTTTTAAATATTATAATTTAATTATCAAAAAATACATTTCTTCTCCCCATTTCCCTTAAATTGAACCTAGTATAAGTGTGTTCATTTTTAGTTTAAAATATTTTCAAACAAAATCCAAAAGCAAACACCACTCAAATCATATCGAATATAAATCATTCTGAAAAGTTTAGTATGGTTTCAATTTGGTTCAATTTAAATTGAACAGAAAATCTTTTTGCATTGCTTATGCTTCCTCCATTCAATCTATTTTCCTCAAAAAAAAAAAAAAGAAATGTAATAATTAGTCTATAAAAATATATATTTATCCCCAATTAACTCCTATTGCACTTAAAGAGCTATGCTTATTGTTTATATATTATAATTGTTTTTTTAAAATGAGGGTAAAATAGAAGTAAAATAGAAATATTCTTAAAATCATT